AGGAAAATGAGCTGATTCCGGGAACCCAAGAGGCAAGCGAATTTTGGGAATGATGAGGGCAACAAATGTATAGATGTGCTCTACACAATTGATCTACGTATTGTGATGAATTTTATGAGCCCCAATAAATTGATTAAAAAATAATAATAATCATCTATCTCAAAATCTTATAGGATAATTGACAGATTATCCTGATATTATGACAATAATTTTGTCTTTTGCATTTAATTAACAAACATTGAAAATGTTTTAATGTTTATACCATCATTTTAGAAATTTATTTTCATAGAAAATACATAATATTAACATATTCTTTTTTTTATAGATCAGGAAAGGAAGTCAAAAAAGTTAGCATCTACTATAAAGATAACTAATGAAGAAACACATTATATTTCACCAATGCAAAATTTCCAATTCGTCTTCTCTAACAAATATGAAGGAGATAATCTAAATGTAGGAGGGGCCAATAACAGTGACTCATCACACTTTACTGGCAAGCTGACATATGGTTCTTCACAGAAATACAAAAATTGCAGTGGAACTGAAATAACGCTTGAGAAAAATGTCCCTGATGACACAATAGTAACGAATTTTTCAGAGGATAAAGGAGAGAGCATAGCAGCATTCCAAAAAAGGTAATTGATTCCAATTAAATTTTCCCCACTAATTTAAACCTATCTTAGAATATAATAATAAGTTATAATTTAGTGGGAAAAGACAAATAGTAAATACTTTATAGTATGAGAATTGTTTTGATGAAGGTTAGGACAGGTTTTCAAACTTCTTGTTATGAGGACCCTTTTACATTTAAAAATTATCAATGATTTCCAAAGATATTTTATTTTATAGAAATTATATCTATTATTAATTAGTCTTATTAGAAAATAAAAGTCACAAGTTAAAATCATAATGAAATAACTTAATAAATTCATTACATTAAGATAAGTAATATATATGTTATCATATTTTGTAAAACAAAAGGAAACAATGACATTTTATATTTTGTAAATTTTTTATGTCTACACTAATAGAAGATAGCTTCATCTTATATCTGCTTTTGCATTCTGGTTGTGATATAAAATGGCATGTGGCCTATGAGAAACTCCACATATACTTGCCAGACAATAAACGAGAAAAAGGCAAATAAATATTGCCTTAGTATTTTGAAGGATAATCTGAGGGACTCTTTTGGGAGAGAAAAAATATGAGAGACCAGCCAAAAAAAAAAAAAACCACTCAAAAAACACAAGCAATCATAAGGACCAAGTACATGGTATTTTCAGGAAATAAAATCAGTAATGGAATCCTGAAAACAACACAATATCCAGATCATAAAAAATAGATATGTAGCAAACCTAATGATGTTTGTGGAGACTCATCAACAGAAATTAGGGAGGAGCATATCAAGAATCAGTATCTTAAGGTTATAGATTATCTATTGTTCATATGTTAAATGTTATCACAATTGAAAGTCACATAATATATATTGAAAGTCATGTAATGACTGAGAAAAACTACACAGAAGAAAAGAAGGGAAAAAGCAAAAAGGTGCATAATAAGAAAAAAGCCAAATACAGACAAACAAAAAACAGACGAAAGAACAATAGAAAACCTCAAAGAAGAATCAAAAGACTCAAAAATAAGTAGCAAAATGAATGAGGCAGACACTTCACTTTTGTAAATGATCTCAAATTCCCCCAGGTGAAAGGCAGAGCATGGCAGAATAAAAGAACATGATCTTTACAGTCTATAAGAAATAAACCTTAGACATAAGGACAAATAGATTGAAAAGAAAATTATGGAAGAAGATAATCCATACAACCAGTTTAAAAACTGGATTTGAACTGCTGATCATACAGCTTTCAGCCCAGCGCCTAACCACTACACTACCAGAGCTCCAAACTTATTATTTTTGGTGATGGGAAAAGCGAGGGTAGTGAGCACAGCATGACCAAAACAAATGATACCACTGGGAAAGGATTATGAGAAAAAGATGCCTGTCCAAATAATTTGACATATAGGAGGGCAACAAATCCAACAAAGGGCAAAAAAACTAGTCTAGAATTATATAAGCATAATTATGAGAGATGTTTTATGTATGTGGGTAGGTAAAGGTGTACATATGCATGAGAACAGGTAAATGTATGCACATGTGAGTATAAATACAGATATGTGTAAGCGGACTCACATTCATTGAAGACATAAATGCATATACTTTTCAGATATGAGTAAACATTTTCTGATCTCCTTTATCTGGGTTTGCAGTCTTAGGGACCATAGCTGCATGAGACAGCTTTGCCAAATGGTATAATAATAACTCACAAAGTTCATGTTTTGCATCCTAGTGAAGTAATTACTGGCTAGGGTCTTAAAAGCTTACAAGTGGCCATCTACTTGTCAGAAGCAAGAGTAAGAAGATAACTGAATTCATAGGGAAAAAAAAGAGTAGATTGGACAGTATCGTACACAAGCCGCAACTTCAGCTTTCCTGAGACCTGAAGAACTAGCTACATACATGTTGCCTAGCTACCATCACTGGCTGCTATATCTTAGGGCACAGTAGATGCTCCTGGGTAAAAAATTAAGAAGTGTTTCCCAAAGTGGGTTAGACAGCCCCCTGGGGTGTTGGAACAATGCAGGGAAGCTGCAAAAGAAGAGACTTATACTTTATCCTAGATTATGAGCTATAGTACAAAAAATTGTAATTGCTAAGGGGATGCTGAATAGGTGTTTTTTTTCTCCGAAAAGGGTTGGTGGTCTAAATAAGTTTGGGAACCTATGATGTAGAACAAAACTCAAATTTGAACAAATGTCCAGACAACCTGGGACATTTAAGAGTAGAAGAATTCTTGAAACTATCACCCTAAGATGCTCTTTAAACCTTGAACCAGAATCACCCCCCGAGTTTACCTTCTAACAGAGAAGCAGAATGACACATAAATTATAGGAACTTACCAATCACTCATCCATTAGTTTGTTGTACTATGGTGGCTTGCAAGTTGCTGTGATGCTGAGTAGGGTCACTCATAGTGGACAAGTTTCAGCAGCGAGTCCTGACTAAGATTTAGAAAAAGGTATAGGCAGTCCACTTCAGTGGGATTTGCCACTGAAAACTTTATGAGTAGTCACAGAACAATGTCTGATACAGGGCAAAAGATGAGCCACCCCCTGCCCCCCAGGTTGGAAAGCACTCAAAATATGACTGAGGAAGAGTTGCCTCATAGTAGAGTTGATCTTAATGATGTGTATGGAGCAAAGTTTTTGGAATTTTTACCTACTAATGAGACATGACTCAAATTAGCAGAAACAACTGAAAACATCCATTAATAATCAAACTGGAATTTACAAAGTAAGAATCTAGGAAAATCGAAAGGCATCAGAAATGAAATGTCTTGGCCATTTGAATTGGACAACCAAATGGCTGACTATTCTAGGAATAACATGTTCAAGAAGAAGGGTGTCCTATTCATTGTCAAAATGCATTGCAAATCTATCTTGAAGTGTAATTCTATTTGTGATAGGATAATATTACAAGGGAAACCAGTTTATAATTTTGTTCAAATTTACCCATCAACAACTGAAGCCCCTGAGGAATAAATTGGAGGATTTAACCAACTTCCATCTAATTTTTTTTTTAATGTTTGAATTAGGTGTCTAAAATTTTTTTCATTGTTCCCGTAAAACAAGGTTTTTTTTTAAACATAAGTTTTATATGCAAGAATTCTTTCATATTTTGTTTCAAATTCTATATTGCATTCCCTTCAGTCTACCATCACTCATTCCACCTCCTACCTGTGTTTCCTGTTTCCATTTCTCCTTTTTCCTTAGCCCGATGAAATTTATTCTTGGCTAAATTCTTCCCTTTTGATCTTGAGTTGTTGATTATTCTAAAATAGGAGTATGTTCAGTTCCAGATCTGACAGATGACTTAGGGCCGTAGTCTTGCGTCCTACTAATCTCTTTCTTCTTCTTCCTTTTTAAAAAAAAGAGAACATTAAGTCTTGAAGGGGGCAAGAACAGTATAATTACAGACTTATCACTCAGATATAGTGAATTTTACATTCAATAATTCATACACATTTGTTTCAACTCATCCAATGAAGTTCCCTCAACATATCCCAACCTTATCTCCCTCTTTTATTCTTCCTTCATCCTAACCCTCTGAACTTTGTCCTTGAGTTAATGCTTCCCTTTTGATCTTAAGTGGTTGATTATTGTAAAACAGTTTCAGTTCTAGCCCTGATGGATGACTAAGAGCTATATTCTTGGGGTCCTAACAGTCTCTATCTGACCAATCAGCCTGATATTTCTTGTGATTTTGAGTTCTGTTCTACATCTTTATCCCACCCTATCCAGGGCCATCTAATAATGATTTCTCCCAAAGAAGTTGGTGCTTTTGGTTTTCATCATTACATTTTTATTCTGAATTGAGAGAGACCAATAGTTTCATCCTGGATGTCTGCTCATGAGCTTTTAAGTTCCCAGTTGCTGCTCATCAAAATAGATATAGAACAATGTTATTGTGAACTATATTAGATCCATTGGCCTTGATGTCCCCCGGAGACTATGGTCTTCATCCCCTAGGCCCAGCATTCAGTCTAAAATGTATCACACATGCAATCAAGATGCTTTGGTGATTATTGGTGACTGGAGTGCAAAAGTTGGAAACAAGTTGGGAAATATGGCATTGGTGATAGAAACAAAGCTGGTGACAGAATTTTGCAAAACCAATGACTTCATTGCATATTCCTTTTTTCAACAATATAGACAGTGGCTATATAACCTGCCCCCCTCCAAAAAAAAAACAAAAAACAGTGACTGTGCACATAGACTTCACTAGGGAGGAAACACAAGAGTCAAATTGACTATCTGTGGAATGGAGAAACTTAATATCATGAACCACAGAATGTCAAGTAGTGACCATGGATTGGATTATCAATTGCTAGTATGAAAGTTCTGATTGAAGATGAAGAAAATTAAAATAAGTCCATGAGATCTAAAATATAACTTTGAGTATATCCCACTTGGATTTAGGGACCATCTCAAGAATAGATTTGACATATTAAACACTAATGAGAACATCTATGGGATGACATCAAGAATATAATACACAAAACAAAAGGCCATTAAAAGCAAAAGAAAGTGAATTCTATAAGGGACTCTGAAACTTGCTCTTGAATGTAAAGTAGCTAAAGCAAATGGAAGAAATTATGAAGTAAAATAGTTGAACAGAAATTTGCAAAGGGCAGTTGAGAAGACATAGTAAAGTGTAATTAATGAAATGGGCAAAAATCTGAATTAGAAAATTATAGGGAAGACACACTCATCATTCTTACGCTGAAAGAACTGAAGAAAAAATTCAAGCCTCTGGTTGAAATATTGAAGGATTTTGTGGGGAAATTATTGAAACTTGAAGAATTTTTTTTAAAGTTGGAAGGAATACACAGAATCACTGTACCAAAAAGAATTGCTTGACATGCAACCATTTCAAGAGGTAACATTGATCCAAACTACACATAAGGAATTATAAAATAAGGAATTATAGAAACTAGCCTGTAGGAATTAAAATGTTTTTAGAAAACTGATACAGCACTGGAAGTACTCTATGCCAAGAAATTTGGAAGAGATCCATATTTATGCCCATTCCAAAGAAAGGTGACTCAACATAAGGCAGACTTATCTAATGATATCATTACTATCAGATGCAAGTAAAATTTTGCTAGTCACACAGACCAGCCCTAATTCAACAAGAGGGAGTGGAGACTGGCTACCACAAATATATTTATTTTAATGTTAGGCAAGTAAAAAGGCTGGGCCATCTGAGAAACTGGCTATCACAAATGTAATTATCTGAATTTTAGGCAAATTCATAGGCATAATTCACCAATAAGTTTACACGGTCATGTTTTAGGAAGATTATTAGCTTTTCTAAGAGTCTTTTGGCATAGTGGTTTCTTGTTGGGCTGCTAAATGCAAGGTCAAAACAGTTCAAAACTACCAGCTGCACATAGGGAGAAAGATGAGACTATCTACTCCCATAAAGAGTTACAGTCTTGAGAACCCGCATGGGCAGTTCTATCCTGTCCTATAGGGTCGCTATGAGTTGGAACCGACTATATGGCAGTGAATTGAATATTAGCTTCTTTTGACTCAATCAACCATAATCTATGGATATGTTTAAGGGAGCCCATTTTATGTTAGCTTGACATTCTGAGCACGATTTCAAATGAAAAACATGCTTTTTTTTTGCAGCTTATTTAAAACAACTGATAACACACATGGGAATGCAAATTCAGATTCTCACATTAACTCAGTGAACACTGTGCAAACGGAAGTGAACAAAGGAAAATCTTGGAACTGTAGCAACAGTAAGCAGAAACATCAGTATTCCGACTTCAACCTGTTCAAAGCAAGTGATGCTTTTGCTGCGTCTGAAATCAGAGAAGGCGTATTCAAAGTACCATCTTTTCAAGCTGCATCTCGGTCTCATAATATTCAAGGTAAATTTTGATTAAGGTCATCCATGCAATCATTTTCCTCTCAGTTGGTTTTATAAAGTAAAAGTTACTCTATGTTATAAGAAAGAATATAAAAATAATAGTAAAATTGTGTAGGTTATCTCTTTAGTAGCACATTTTCCTGCATTTTTCTTAAGTTGCATAATTTTAAAAATTGTTTTATCAATAAAAAGTTATGTAGTTTCCATTGAAACAATTTTTGTGGAAAAGATCTTTTTAATACATATGGTTGTTTTTTTTTAGGGGTGACTGAAAAAGATTTTGGTTCCTTGAAGCCTGTCACAGAAATCCGTATCCTTTAAATTATTTCATTATAGTTATTTTACACTTATAAAATAATAATCTTTTAACATTTTATTTTATTGTGAGCTTATTTTGGCTGACAAAGAAAGAAGTAAAAAAATGAATATTTTAGATTTTTAAGAGAATCCATGTAATAGTCAGTGCTGCTGATGTAGGATAGGGCCAGTTAGTATAAAATGAGAAATTAGTTGGTATTATTGGCTGAACTCTGAGTATATTTACTTACTTTGGGTAAAGACAGCAGTATTGGGTTGAACATAGGAAGGAAAAATAGATGACTGTGGGCCAGAGATTATGAAATGAGGATACTGCTATATATCTCATATTTTTGAAAAACCCTAAATTGGAGTTTACACATAAAATTTGATTTGCATATCTGTGAATTACGCTGTAAATATTTTGAGTATGTATCTGTGATACCATGGGTTAGATGTTGGGCTGTTAACTGCAAGATCAGCAGTTTAAACCCACCAGCTACTTGGCGGAAGAAAGATGAGATTGTATGCGCCTATAAAGCTTTATAGTTTTGGAAACCATATATATGGTTGTTATGAGTTGGAATTGACTTGATGGCAGTGAGTTTAGTTTGGTTATCTGTTTTGGAGGTAACCTCCTTGACTTTTTTAAAACCCTGGATTTGTCTTTAAAAATGTAGTAATTGCTTTTTTTAAGAAAACACTATATAGATTATAATCTATATAATTCCTTACTGCTAACTTATTTATGTTCCAACTCTTAGTTAAATCACTAAAGATAGACAAGGAATTAAACACAGGGTTAAAACACTAGGCTGAATGGAAGCATTAAAAGTTGACTATGAAAAAAAAAGTTGACTATGTCTGAAGTTACTACCATATATACTCGAGTATAAACTGGACCAAATATCAGTTGGAACACCTAATTTTACCACAAAAACTGCATTAGAAATGTGCTGAAAAACTCGGCTTACATATGGTATGTTACCATGTACAACTCTGCTATTGCTCCACTCCCATTCTAACTCAATTTAGTTGTATGCAATGGAGCCAATTTTCACAAGTAGTCAGGCCATCATTTTCTTACCATACTTTGGAAGTATTTTAGATAGCCCTCAGAATACCCCAAACTAGTGTGTTAGTCTGGGTAGACTAAAGAAACAAATCCAGAGAGACTCATTTATGTGTATTAGAAAGAGCTTTATATATAAGAGCAGTTTAATATTGAGAAAACATCCCAGTCCAGTTCAGATCAAATCCATAAGTCCTATATTATCCCATATGTCCAATACTAATCTATAAAGTTCTCTTCAGACTCATGAAACACATGCAATGATGCCGAATGCAGGAAGATCACAGGCCAGTGGATGAAAGGTCTTGTGGATCCAGTGGTGGTGTATACATTTCAGCTCTGGCAAGGGTCTCCACGTGGGTCCTCTGGCTCCAGAGCTCTAGTGTAGCTCAATGTATCTTGGCAACAGGAATGTGTCACAGGGAGGGAGCCTCCAGCGAGCTATTTATCTCCTTAGCAGCTCCCAATGAGGTCATCAAGCTGCGACCTGATTGACAGGCTAACCTCCACCCCTTCACTCTTAAGTCTCAAACTGACAACAGATTATGTAACTACCACAGCTAGAGTCACCATTTACTTGATTTCTCTTGATAAACTGTCCAGTATCTAGAATTTGATTTCTATTTTTCTGACTAGAACATAAAATTTGTGAATTCTAGAGCCTTCCTCAACTTTAAATAACCAATGTCATATTCCTTGAGCACAGTTTTGATGATATAATTTAACCTGCTCAAAAAATACTACATGATTTTTCCTTATTGCTTTAAGAATTTATTGAAAACAAAAACAAAACACCCTTGATTTTTGATCTTATTAATTGATCTTATTCATTTACTTGCTCCACAGTATTTCCTACTGTGTATTTACTTACTCCTACAGTATTTCCTACTATACTACATATCTTTCCTTTCAGCCAAACTGTGTATTTGCTTACTCCTACAGTATTTCCTACTATACTACATATCTTTCCTTTCAGCAAAACTGGAATGCTGTTCTACTCCAAACATACTACTTACATGTTTCACTCCCCCCTGGCTCATGTCTAGTCTTTCCCAAGAAAAACTTTTCTTGCCATATCTACCTTTCAATGTATCTGTAGATAGGAAGATAGTAAGACGTGGTGTGTGTTCTAAAGGTGTTCACGGGTCACAGGGAAAGAATAACAAAGCACAGGGTATTAAATAAAGAGTTTACCTCCAAAACATCAATTGTTTTGTCCCTTATTGGAAGCCTTTCTATGTGGCAGACTACTTTTTAAAGATTTCTATTTTTAATTCAACAATGCTTCTATTGTTTAAGTCTATGTGTTAGTCAAGACTATTAAGAGTATTCTGTACACTTGTGTCCAGTGATTTATTGTCCATAAAATTCATCTGTTGCCCAAATCCCAAAACTGCCGTATTATATTGTTTCTAAGTATATTTCAGGTAGAAGAAGGAATATCATTTATGATAATTTGAAAGTTTGTACACTACTTGGATAATTTGAGAGCTTGTGTACTACTTGGACACAAACTTACTTTCTGTTCTATTTCTTTCTCAGTATTTTACTAAATTTGAATCCTTGGGAAAACAGAAGTTTTGCCAAATTGATCTTGCTACAATACTGTCATTTTTAGTTCTGTAGACATTTACCACCATTATTACATATAATGTAATATATGTAATACTTCCAGCTGTAATGACATTACTGGGAGTTCGTTGAACAAAAGGAAAAAATTGTCATCAAGTGTTAATAGTAATAATAAGTGATGTTAGCAGTCAAGTTTTCTCATGAGCTAGGAAGACTGATGATTCTACAACTACTCTGAATCAAAGGTTTGTTTTCATCGAGATAAATTGATGTGGAACTACCTAATGAGAGACAGCCCAGCATGAGGACCACTTGTGAGCTTGTTTCAAATATTTTATAACTAGAAATATATTTTGAGGAAAAATGAAATTTATTTAAAAGATAATTAATAAATATTAAATTAAATTTTTGTTTTGGCACAAATATTTTGATATCCTTCACAACTGAAACTAAAATGAGTATTTGCAAATCTTTATAATCTATGGAATAGACTATCAATTGCTGATATGTAAGTTTGGGTTAAAGCTGAAAAAAACGAAAACAAATCCATAAGAGTCAAAATAGAAACTTGAGTCTATCCCACCTTAATTTCAAGAACATCTCAAGAACAGATTTGACACATTAACACTAATGACAGAGATCTAATGAGCTGTGGCAAGACATCAAGGCCATTATTCATGAAGAAAGCAAAAGGTCATTAAAAGGGCAGGAAATAAATAAAAAGGCAGGAAAGAAAAAAAAAGATCAGAGTAGGTATCAGAAGAGACTTGCTCTTAATCATAGAATAGTTAAAGCAAATGGAAGAAAGGATGAAGTCAAGGAGCTGAATAGAAAATTTCAGAGGGCAGCTCAAGAAGTCAACGCCAAATATAATGAAATGTCCAAGGACCTAGAATTAGAAATCCAAAAAGGAAGAACACTCAGCATATCTAAAACAGAAAGAACCCAAGAAAACATTCACGCCTCAAGTTGCAATCTTGAAAGATTCAACAGGCAAAATATTGAATGATGCAGGAAGCATTAAAAGAAGATGGAAATAATACAGAATCACTGTACCAAAAATAACTAGTTGTCATTCAACCATATCAAGAGGTCATATCTGAGCAAGAATCAATGGTACTGAAGGAAGAAGTTAAACGTGCACTGAATGCATTAGTCAAAAACAATCTGGGCTCCAGGAATTGAAAAGTTTCAGCAAGCTGAAGAAGCACTGGAAGCACTCACTCATCTATGCCAGGAAATTTGGAAGACAGCCACTTAGCCAACTGACTGGAAGGGATTCATACTTGTGACCATTCCAAAGAAAGGTGTCTCAGCAGAATGCTCAAACTATAGAACAATATTGTTGATATTCCATGCAAGTAAATTTTGCTTAAGGTCATCCAACAATGATTGCATCAGTATATTAACAAAGAACTGCCAGAACTTCAGGCTGGATTCAGAGGAGGATATAGAACAAAGGATGTTATATGGATCTTGGCTGAAAGAAGAGAATACCAGAAAGATCCTACTTGTGTTTTATTGACTATACCAAGACCTTTGACTGTGTGAATCAAAGCAAACTACCTTGAGAAGATGGGAATCCCAGAACACTACATTGTGTTCATGGGGGACTTGTACATGGATCAAAAGGCAATGGTGTGAACAAAACAAGGGGATACTTGCATGGTTTAAAATCAGTAAAGGTGTGTGTCAGCGTTGTATACTCTCACCATATTTATTCAGTCTGTATGCTGATCAAATCATCAGAGAAGCTGGCTTATTGTATGTCAAACACATCTATATATTTGTTGCCATCATCATTATTGGATTGTGACAAGAGTTGTATGAGCCCCCAATAAAATGATTCATTAAAATTTTTTAAAAGACTGTAGAATCAAGATTTGAGGAAAGCTTAATGACCTGTGATATGCAGATGAAACAACCTATCATGCAGAAAGTGTGGAGGACTTGATGCATTTGCTGATGAAGATCAAAGATTGCATCCATCCTTCAGTATGGATTACAACCCTAGTTTTCACAACTGGACCAGTAGGTAGCATCATAATGAACAGAAAACATATTGAAGTTGTCAAGGATTTTGTCTTGCTTGCATCCATAATTAATGCTTGTTCCGTGTCCTCTTCAGAATCTGGCCAGAATCTGTCCGTTTCCTCTCAGTGTACTGCTTCAAGTATTGTTAGATGATCTTCAGAAAAAAATTTTACTTCCATGTGATATCAATGATATTGTTCTTTAATTGGAGCATTCCTTTGGGTCACCCTCCTTTGTTTCATTTTTAAAACAGTATATTGGGACATAATCCAAATATCATACCATTCAGTAGTTCAATCATATTAAGAAGAGTTGTAGTGTGGAGTGGAGACCCAAAGCCCATTTGTAGCCCACTGGACATCCCCTTACAGAAGGGCCTCAGGGAGGAGACAAACCAGTCAGGGTGCGATGTAGCAACGATGAAACATACAACTTTTCTCTAGTTCCTAAATGCTTCCTCCTCCCCCACTATCATGATCCCAATTCTACCTTACAAATCTGGCTAGACCAGAGGATGTACACTGGTACAGATAGGAACTGGAAACACAGGGAATCCAGGGCGGATGATCCCTTCAGGACCAGTGGTGTGAGTGGTGATACCTGGAGGGTTGAGGGAGGGTCAATGTCCATCTGCTGCCTTAATACTAAACCTATAATAAATGCACGTAGATCTGTTTCCCCACACTCTTATATAAATATATTTACATATGTACATTCCAGTCTTAAAATCTCTATACATACCCTTTGTCCCCTCGTTCTTTCCTCTATTTCCCTTTACTTTCCTCTTGTCCCACTATCATGGTCAGCCTTCGTTTGGGTTTCAGTGATTTCTCTCGGTTATAATCCCCTTGCTGAATCCCTGCTAGGCCTCTCACACCCTCCTTGCCAGTTTTTGGATCATTTGTTGCTCCGCTGTCCCTGGGTTGGTCAGCACCACCTTCTTATCCCCGTCTCCCCTGATCCCGTGTCCCCCAGAACCGTTGGTCCTGTTGCTTTCTCCTCCAGACTATTCATCCAGTCTATCTTATCTAGATAGATCTGTAGAGATACTGATATGCATAAAAAACCAAGCCATAGCAAGATAGGCAATCAGTGAGAGCACAGCAATGGCAACAAAAAAGGAAACCAATTACCCATAGAAGAATAAGTTAATTAAACGAAAGAAAAGAAAAATTTTAAACAGAAAGAAAAACCTGTAAATAGATCAAGGTCTGATTTTTTATCTCTAGGCATGTCCTGCAGTCAGGACTGATGGGGTACCATGCCCTGGCCCCCAAGTCTGTCCTTTGTACTCCCTCGGGCTCCCTTCTCTGCTCCCACCGTTGCATTGCTGGATGCTTTTTGTATCACAGCCTTTTATAGAGAAGATTTTAAAAGTTTGCAAAACCCACTGTCATCACCTTGATTCAGACTCATAGTGGCCCTGTGTAGGGTTTCTAAGATTGCAGATCTTTACAGATGCAGATAGCTTCATCTTTCTCCCACCAAGCCTCATTGTTCTCCCCCCAAGTGACTGTTGGTTTGAACTACCAATGTATGGTAAGCAACCCAGCACCTAACCCACAACATCACCAGGGATCGCTTAGCATGTAGAGTCTTAATTAGTGCATTGCCTTTCCTAGCACTCTAGCATTTCCTATCACTCTAGCATAAGGTGACCAGATGTCCCGCTTTTGGTGGGACAGTCCCGATTTTGAACAAATTTTCTCGTGTCTTGCGGCATTTTTTAAAAGTCCCAAATTTTGGAAAGAATGCACGACAAGCTAGGGTATATGGTTTTCGGCTACCATGTGGCTATTTCACTAGGATATGAGTTTTATCAATGGTGCCCTGCTTTACCAATGTTAAAATCTGGTTACCTTACAGTCTAGCAGTCTATGAGTTCTTGTATGTCTCTATATGAATATGAGTATAACTGCTTAAATAATGGTGTATATGTCTTCTCAGACATATAAGTTATCTAATCTCTCCAAATGGGTTATAGCAGCATCAATTAAAGGAACTTATGTTCTTCTCTATTTTAGCTGCCTATACCTTTCTATTTCTAGAAATATATTCAGCATATGTGGTTTAATAAATGTAGTTGACAAATTTTGACTCAGACTATGAGATATTATGTAAATATGAATATCTACAAAATTAGCAATAGAGTTTACTCCTTACAAGGAGACAGTTTAAGGAGACAGTTTATTCTTCATATTTAATGATGATTTTTAACTCTCAGATAGGGGAATGATGATTTAAGTAATTCTTGTTAAGCTAATATATTGATTACTGATAATCCCAGTTAAATCCACACTTAACCAAATTATCAAAAGACATAGGTAGTTTACCAGAAACATACATCAGCTAATAAAGCAGTTAAGTGAAATCTAAAACATTAAAGAAGAGATAAAAAAGTGAGTAGTTTATTCAAGATGAATAAGAAAAAGTACTTCTCTGGAAAAAAAATAATTAGAAGTTCAGTTCTGATATATGAGTACATGCCTATATATACTTGCATTTCTTTCGTCAGATCAAACTCTTGGGTTTACCTTTGTGTTACCTTTATTTTCCCTTAAGGGCTTGCCAAGTTTGCAAAATATGGAATATGACTGGGGACTAGAATAATTTCTGTTCATTTCCTTCCTAAATTGCCAAAATGGCAAATGTTAAAGCCACATCACTAAATATTATCAAAGTTCCTATTAAGTCAACTGAATTTTTAAGTGAAAAGTAACTGATTTAAAAAATTCTTAAATACTTGGCTCCTTAATGTTATCCTAAGCGGCAAAGTTTAGAAGTATTTTCAGAGAATTCCCATATTTCAACTACATACAGTCCAAGGCCTTAGATGATGTAAGTATTTTATTATCATTGTTTACTTATCTGCCTCTTCTCAGTAATTATGCCTTAAGGTTAGAGCCTAGAATTCATGGTTAGAGCCTAGAATTCAATCATCTTTTTGTCTCCTATGCCACACTTAGTGATTGGTACATTATAGGCACTCAGGTATATTAATGTGATTTCCATAGTTGTACTGGTTTGTAATTATTAGTTATAAAAATTTCTCTGAGAACTAAAGATATACTTTACTGCTGGCATATAGTCAAATATGAATATAATGTGGCAAATTATAATAGTATTATGTAATATTATCTTCGGGTGGTAAGCCTGGAGCAAGATATGATTCTAAGAATTTTGAGGAAATGATTGAGCTATTGTTTAAGGACCTTTCTCAGGCATATTTTTAAACAAATTGAGAACATGTGTAGAAATTCTATGTTTTCTATAATTGATTAAGTTTTATTTTTCAGCTTCTTTACACAGATAGGAATTTTGTGATTTGTGCACCGACTGGTTCTGGGAAAACTGTGATGTTTGAATTGGCTATAACAAGATTGCTGATGGAAGTGCCATTGCCATGGTTGAACATTAAAATTGTTTACAGTAAGGATATATTACTAAGTTAATGATGAATGATAACAAACAGTGAAGCAAAGCTGATAAGTAAACCCAAGGCAATCCAGAGAAATTATTATTTGTTTTTCCTACATTTTTATGAAAACCTGTCACAATTGGTTTTGTCTGTTACATTAACTTCATAACACATTTTCCTAGATTTTAATCATCTTTATGTCTCCCATGCCACACTTAGCGATTATAAATAAAAAATAATATTTGAATTGAAAATTTGATCTTTAATTTCTTATTTTTAAGATGATAAAATAAGCAAAATCAAACATTTTGTAATTCTGGAAATTTCCATTGGAAACATTACTCCTTTTTCTTAATATTTTTTAAGATTTTCTTCACTGAAGTAATATGTGCACATTAAAAAATATATATATCACAAAAGGGCTTATAGTGAAAATCAGTATTTGCCCCCTTATCTCTCTCATTCCTAGTTACACTTCCCAGATGAAAGACTTCTAATTCTCTTTTTAGTTCTTTTGATGATTATTTTTCTAAATAATAAACCAACTCAAAACCAAACTCACTGACATGGAGTCGATTCAGATTCACAGCAATCCTATTAGATGGTGTAGCACGTGTGGGTTTCTGAAACTGTAAGACTTAATGGGAATAGAAAACTTTGTCTTTCTCCTACAGAGAGGTTGGTGGTTTCAAACTGCTGACCTTGCAGTTAGCAACCCAATGTATAACCGCTATGCCACCAGAGCTCCCCCTTCTAAATAATATGCTTATATCATTTTTAAACTAATCAATATTAGGCAATATTGATATTTTTATCCCAATTCTACCAGGCAGGAGTTATAAAAACAATTTAAATTACATTGACAATCTAAATAATTTAATATTTTATATTGCTACAGTGGCACCAATAAAAGCTCTGTGCAGTCAGCGTTTTGATGCCTGGAAAGAAAAATTTGGAGTAATAGGTTTGAATTGTAAAGAACTCACTGGTGATACCGCCATGGATGATCTATTTGAGATTCAGAATGCCCATATTATTATGACAACTCCAGTAGGTGCTATTTAAAATTTATTATTTATTTAGTTTATTCGAAAATACCTATTTCTTTTTGGAGTAGAAAATATTTGCAATGTTAAAAACAGAAAAATAACTAGTATTAGTGTATATAAAGAATACCTACAAGTCAGCAAAAGTGCCTAAGTAGGAAAAATGAGCAAAATATATGATTAGGCAATTTTTAAATTATAGATCATTTGTAAATTGCGTGTGTGTACTGCTCTCTCTTGGTAGAGCTTAAAATAGATCATAAGATTGCGACTGAATATTATTTTATAGTTAAACAATGATGCCCTCACAGTTTTTAAAATACCAGCAAGACTGTCTCCACTGCTGTCAAGATGATTTTGTCTCATAGCTACACTATAGGACTGGTTAGGTTTTCCAAAATTGTAAATCTTTATAGAGAGCAGAGAAGTCTTATTTCTCCTGCTAAGTGGCTGGTGACTTTGAATCATTGACCTTGTTATTAGCTGCCTGATAATTTATTGTACTTCCAAGCTCCTTTTAAGACTGTAAAAATCCCTTAAATAATTTTTATCTTTAAATAGTTCCCAGGATACTTTTAAATTTCAATGAACATATTACCTATAATTTATAGAATATAATGGAAAAAACTTTATAAATATTATTGACATAATTTTTTGCATTTTCTCTCTAGGAAAAATGGGATAGTATGACTAGGAAATGGAGAGACAACTCTTTGGTCCAACTGGTTCGTCTGTTTCTAATTGATGAGGTAGTAAGCACATCATTCATTTTCAGAGTTAAGCACTAAAATATATATATACATCTATATGATAGTTAGAAATAAATGAGACATTTCAGCCAAACTATATCTGTTTTATTTATTTAAATAGAAAATAAGTTTATTTTAGTAAGCAAGAATATTAATATTATTTTACACTTTAATTGATTAAATAGGTTTTTAGTCTTATAGTTAATGGCTGCTCCTTGACTTCCTGTATAGGTACATATTGTAAAAGATGAGAATCGTGGTCCTACTCTTGAAGTTGTAGTAAGCAGAATGAAAACTGTACAGTCTTTTTCTCAGACTTCAGACAGTGAAGTTATTCCAATGAGATTTGTAGCTGTATCTGCAACGATTCCAAATGCTGAAGATGTAAGTTAGAATTTTAATCTCTCAATTTTTTATGACTTATAAAATATTTAGTCATTTGATCTTAAGTGAAAAAATTTCTGTCAATCAATGAATGTAATAGGAAAGTATGTTGTAGAAAATTATGGCTATATTGCATAGGTAAGGTATTATTAAGAACATAAAATTTGCTCAATTCAAGAATACTTTGTTCTACTAATATGGCACTCTGTGATGTTCACCTTCCCTGACACAATTGCTGAAGACAAAAATGGGTACATAAGTAAATGTGGTGAAGAAAGCTGATAGTGCCTGGCTGTCAAAATATATAGCATCTGAGGTCTTAAAAGCTTGAAGATGAACAAGTGGCCATCTAGCTGAGAATCAACAAAGCCCACATGATCATGAGGTATTGATGGGATCAGGTGACAGGCTTGTGTGATCATGAGGTGTCGATGGGATCAGGTGTCAGGTATCAAAGACCCAAAATAAAAAATAAAAATTCCATGTGGAGGTGAATGAGGGGGAGGGCAGAGTGGAGGCCCAAAGCCCATCTGTAGACAATGGGTCACAAGGAAGAGACAAGCCAGTCAGGGTGCAGTATAGCGCCAATGAAACATACAACTTTCCTCTAGTTCTTTAATGCTTCCTTCTCCCTAACTATCATGACCCCAATTCCACTTTACAAATCCTACTAGACCAGAACATGTACACTGGTACAGATAAGAGCTCGCAGCACAGGGAATTCAGAACAGATAAACCCCTCAGAACCAATAATGAGAGCGATACTAGGAGGGTAAGGGAAGGGGAGGGGACAGTAGGGGAAACTAATCACAATGATGGACATATAACCCCCTTCCAGGGCAACGGACAACAAAAAAGTGGGTGAAGGGAGACAGCAGTTGGTGTAAGACATAAAACCCAACCCAATAATTTACACATTATCAAGGTTCATGAGAGAGGGAGGAGTGGGGAGAGGAGCTGATACCAAGGGCTTAAGAAGAAAGGAAATGTTTTGAAAATGATGATGGCTGCATATGTACTAATGTGCTTGACACAATGGATGTAGGTGTGGATTGTGATAAGAGCTGTAAGAGCTCCCAATAAAATGATTTTTTTTTAAATGGCATAAAACTTTACTGATCCGATTTAATAAATCACATTATTTTTTAAAAACAGTTTTATTGGGACATAATCCACATACCATATAATTCAATAGTTCAATTATATCAAGAAGAGTTGTACAATCATTACCACAATCAGTTTTAGAACATTTTCTTCTTTCTTGTACTCTTTGTTATTAGTTCCCATATTCTTGTTGGTAGTCTGTTATTTGTTACATCTAGAGGTCTTAGTTTCATGGGCTTCAGACACCTCATAATAACGAGTAATATATTTTACAATGGTTTTCTTTGCCTGAATGACACAATCAAGAAGAATGGCATTGCATTCATTGTCAAAAAGGACATATCAAGATCTATCTTGAAGTACAATGTTTTCTATTATAGGATTATATCTGTTCACCTTCAAGGAAATCCTATCATACAACCATTATGCGTATTCATACACCAACTACAAAAGCTAATAATGAAGAAACCAAAGAATTCTACCAATGTGTTCAGTCTGAAATTGATCAAACATGCAATTAGGATGCATTGATAATGATTGATTATTGCAATGCAAAAGCTGGAAACAAAGAGGAAGGAACAGTAGTTCAAAAATATGGCTTTGGTGATATAAACAAAGCTGGAGATCACATGATAGAATTTTGCAAAACCAACAACTTGTTCATAACAATATATTTTTTCAACAGTACAATGACTTCTCCAGATGGAATACACAGAAACCAAGCTGACTACATTTGTGGGAAGAGATCATTGAGAAGCTCAATATTAGCAGCTAAAACCTGGCCAGGAATTGATTGTGGAACAGACCATCAAGTGCTCATATGTTAACTTCAGGTTGAAGCTGAAGAAAATTAAATCAGGTCCATGAGAGCCAAAATGCAACCTTAAATCTATCCCACTTGAATTCTGAGAACATCTCAAAACCAGATTATGCTGCATAGAGCACTAGTGACAGAAGACCTGATGAGCTGTGGGAGGACATGCAGAACATCATTCAGAACATCATTCATAAAGAATGCAAATGGGCATTAAAAAGATGGGGGGAAAATGAAAAGATCAAATTGGGTGTCAGAAGAGACTCTGAAACTTGATCTACTCATAGAGTAACTAAGAGAAAAAGAAAACATGATGAAGTCAAAGATCTGAACAGAAAATTTCAAAGGGCTGTTTGAGAAGAAAAAGTTAAATATTATAATGAAATGTGCAAAGATCTAGAGTTAGAAACAGAAAGGAAGAACATGCACTGATTATCTTAAAAAACTCAAGAACATGTAAGCTTCATGTTATGATATTGAAAGATTCTATGGGCAAAATTCAGGAATCATCAAAAGGAGATAAACAAAATACAGAGTCCCTGTACCAAAAAGAATTAGTCAACATACCACCATTTAAGGAGGTGGCATATGAGCAAGAACCAATTGTACTGAAGGAAGAGGTTCAAGCTGCCCTGAAAGCATCAGCATTCTAGAACAAAGTTCTAGGAATTGAAATGTTTAAACACAGTGATGCAACATTGGAAGCATTCACTCATCAATGCCAGGAAATTTGAAAGACACCTAGTTGACCAACTGACCAGAAGAGATCCATATTTGTACTCATTCCAAAGAAAAGTGACCCAACAGTATGCTCAAATTAGAGAACAATATAATTGATATCACATCCAAGTAAAATTTTTGCTGGATATTCTCCAACAATGACTGCAGCAGTACATTGACAGGGAGCTGCCAGTGATTCAGGCTGGGTCCAGAAGAGGACATGGACCAAGGGATATCATTGCTAATGTCAGATAGATCTTCGCTCAAAGCAGAGAATACCAGAAAGATGTTTACTTGTGTATTATGACTATGCTGAGGCCGTTGACTGTGTGGATTATAATAAACTATGGATAGTCTTAAGAAGAATAGAAATTCCAGAACACTTGATTGTGCACATGCTGTGCCTGTCATGGTTCAAGAGGGAGTTGTGCAAACAGAACAAGGGAATACGGCATGGTTTAAAATCAGAAAGGGTTGTATACTCCACCATATTTATTCAGTCTGTATACTGAGTAAATATTCAGAGAAACTGGCTTATATGAAGAAGAATGTGGCATCAGGATTAGAGGAAGGCTTATTAACAACTTTTAATATACAGATGGCAACTTTTCTTGCAGAAAGTGAGGAGTACTTGAAGCACTTGCTGATGAAGATCCAAGACAGCAGCTTTCAGTATGGATTGCAATTCAATGTAAAGAAGGTTAAAATCCTCACAACTAGACCAGTAGATAACATGATAAATGGAGAAAAGATTGAAGTTGTCAAGGATCTTGTCTTGGTTGGATGTGCAATCATTGCTCATGAAAACAGTAGTCAAGAGATCAAAACATGTTGCATAAGATAAATCTGTTGTACAAGACCACTTTAGAGTGCCAAAAAGCAAGGGGATTACTTTGAGGACTAAGGTGCCCCCAAGCCATGGTATTTTCAGTTGCTTCTTACTTATGTTAAATAAAGAAGACTGACAAATAATTGGTCCATTCGAATTATGGTGCTGTCAAAGTACCATGGACTGCTAAAAGGACAAACAACACTGTCTGGGAAGAAGTACACTAGAGCGTTTCTTAGAGGCAAGGATGGCAAGACTTTGTCTTACATATCTTGGACATGTTGTAAAGAGAGACAAGCCTTAGAGAAGGACATCATGATTTGTAAAATAGAGGGGCAGCAAAAAAGAGGATGATCCTCAGGGAGATGGATTGACAGTGGCTGCAACAATGGGCTCAACATAGGAACAATTTGAGGGTGCCACAGAACCAGAAGTGTTTCGTTCTATTGTGCATAGGGTTACTATGGGTCAGAACTCACTTGATGGCTCCTAAGAACAGTAACGCTTTTCATTTTATAGCTTATAACCAGCAATATAAGGTAGCAAGTATAAATAATTACTTGGAGATGATTACCATCAGCATTAAAGACAGATATAAAGATGAAAACATATAAATCCTGCCCTTAAGAGGAACTCATGGTTCTTAAGGGGAACAGATACTTAAAGAAATAATTTTGTATGGTATTATAGTTCCAATAACAAATATATATCCTCATTTTTATCTTCAATTTTTAAGCAAACTTCTTAAAAAGCAGTACTATCTCATTCTTATTTACTCCTCAACCTTTCATGGCTGTTTAACCTGATGCTTCTTAGAAATTCATTTAAAGATCCAATGGGAAATTTTCTCTGTATCATTAATTTGACGAGACTAATCATTTTTAAAATTGTTGAAATGGCAGTTGTTTATATATTCTAATGTAAAGATAGAAAAAATTAAATTTACATGAGCCCGGTGGTGTTATCGCTGTGTATTGGGCTGTTAACTATAACATCAGCAGTTTGAAACCCCAGCCACCCATTGGGAGAAAGACAGGGCTTTCTACTCCTATAAAGAATTACAGTCTCAGAACCCCACAGGGAGCAGTTCTATCCTGTCCTATAGGGTCGCTATGAGTTGGAATCAACTCAATGACCTGAGTTTTGGGGTTTTTTGGAAGCAACAAAACAATAACCCAGTATATATCTTTGCAGGTTTATTCATGAATGATAATGTAATACTCTTTTCTAACCTGCATTTCCCCTACAGATATTATCATGTCATTAAATATTACTTTTTATACTGGCTTTATGATTTTATCATTATTTATGTATCAAATAACTGATGGGAGATTAAGTTTTTTATTTTTTAGTATTGTAAGCAGTACAGAAATTAATATATCTTTAAAAGTATTCATGAATATAGGATTAACTTTTAGGTAAAATAGCTGACTCAAAGGATACATAAAACTATTAAGGATCTATGTATCACCATACATAAAACTTTCAAGGGCATTGTGCCTCTAACCGTCAGCAATCATTTCTCTGTACCCTACCACTGATGGTATAAAAATGAAATTATTATTGTTATTATTCTTTAAAAGTATTTGTCAACTTATTGTTTAAAATGGTATCTTAATTTTAAAGTTTGTATTCCTCTATTTTTCATGAAGAAAATATTTTTAATATATTTTTCAACAACTTTTAGTTTTTATTTTGTAGCTTGTCAACCATATCCCTTACAATTTTTCCCCATTGAGATATTAAACTTTTAAAATTGATTTGTAAGCAATTATTACATATAAATAACCCATAATTTTTAAAACTCACCACCTGTGACAATTACTACTTTGTGATTGGATTTATCACTCTCTTTCTTCATCTCCTCAACTTCTAATTTTCTCCTAAATTAAGATAATCCCTATCCTTTTGTCTTTCTCACACTATAAATTCTTATATGCTCTCTCAATCCATGATATCTATTAAAATATTTTAATATTTTCTCTCTGTACAATGAGAAATTTATGAATCAATCTTCTGCTGTCAAAGGGTCAGTTTAATATCAGGGAATAAAGCTTGATTATCAATCAGGCTACATGCAGATAGATTGCAGAAATTAAGCTAGTGACTCCAACATTGAGTATGAAAAGTGCTTTTAGCCTGTCTCTCAAGTGTTATTATTTTTTGCTTAAACTTACAAACCCTTGCCAACAACTTAAGCCAAACATTATTTTGCTATTGTCCAGCTACTCTTTAGGTTAAAACAACAACAAAAAAGGAGTTATATTTCCAATCAACTCAAAAAAATAAACTTCCACCAAGTCAGTTCTGACTCATAGTGATCCTATAGGTCAGGGTTGAACTACCCTTGTGGGTTTCTGAGATTGTAACTGTTTACGGAGTACAAAGACCCATCTTCCTCCTTTGGGAGCACCTGGTGGCTTCGAACTGCTGACCTCACAGTTAGCTGTCCAACACACAATCACTATGCCTTGTAGCTTTGAAAAATAGCAAATAGCATGATGGTGGGACAAGAGGAAAGTAAAAAGGAAATAGAGGAAAGAACTAGGAGGCAAAGGACATTGATAGAGGCCTAAATACAGGCATGTACTTATATATATAATGAGAGGGGAATAGAACTATGTATTCATATCTTAAGGTTGCACATGGACATTTGGCCTCGACGGAAGTACTCCCTTAACACAAGAACACTTTGTTCTAACAACCCGGCACTATGAGATGCGCACCTTCCCTACACGATTGCAGAAGACAAAATGGGTGCATAAGCAAATGTGGTGAAGAAAGCTGATGGTGCCTGGATATCAAAAGATATAGCATCTGGAGTGTTAGAGGCTTGAAGATAAACTAGTGGCCATCTAGCTCAGCAGCAACAAAGCCCACATGGAAGAAGCACACCAGCTTGTGTGATCATGAGGTGTCGATGGGATCAGGTGTCAGGCATCAAAGACCCAGAATAAAACCATACCCAAGGTGAACGGGGTGGGGGTGGGGGGCCGGAGGCATGGAGTGGAGACCCAATGCCCATCTGTGGACAATTGGACATCCCCTCACAGAGTGGTCACAGGGAAGAGATGAGCCAGTCAGGGTGCAGTATAGCACCAATGAAACACACAACTTTCCTCTAGTTCTTTGGTGCTTCCTTCACCTCACTATCATGACCTCAGTTTTACCTCACAAATAAGATTAGACCAGGAAATCCAGGATAGATAAACCCCTCAGGGCCAACAATGAGAGTAGAGCTAACAGGAGGATTAGGGGAGGGTGGTGGGGGGAAAGGGGGGTTCGATCACAAGGATCAACTTAGAACCCCCTCCCAGGGGGACGAATAACAGAAAAATGGGTGAGGTGCAATGGAGGACAATGTAAATATGGAAAAAATAACCCATAACTTATAAAGGATTGTGAGAGAAGGTGGGCAGGGGAGGGAGGGGGAAGAAATGGGGAGCTCATATCAGGGCTCAAGTGGGAAGAGAATGCTTTGAAAATGATGATGGCGGCATATGTGCAAATATGCCTGACACACTAGATGACTATATGGATTGTGATAAGAGATGTAAGAGCCCCCAATGAAAGCATTTAAAAAAAAGAAAAATAGCAAATAGTGAAAATTTTCATTTATATGCCTAAATAAATTTTTATCTTATTTTGACTCTTAGAAGTTAAGTAAAACATGAGTAATAATTTGAAGTTTACCTTAGTGAAAATTTAGTATAATATAGAATTATTACTATCAATAGTATTTAACAGTATACCAATAGAACAATGTCAATGAAATATTTAATAGTAAAAAAGACTATTTGGTTAAGTATGTTTATATCTTAACTTAAAGTGGTCTTTAATTGTGGATTTTTAGCAAAGAACTTTATGAAACATTTTAAATGTATATGTTAAGATTGCAGAATGGCTTTCAGATGGTAAGAGACCTGCTATCTGTCTGAAAATGGATGAGAGCCACAGGCCAGTGAAACTTCGAAAAGTGGTCCTTGGATTTCCCTGCAGTAGTAACCAAACTGAGTTTAAGTTTGATCTGACCCTCAATTACAAAATCGCCAGTGTTATACAAACGTACTCTGATCAGAAGCCCACACTTGTGGTATGTATCGTGATTGCTTATTTTTTATTATAATGCTTATTTTTCAACATGATTGATACAGTTTATTTCATTTACAGTTTTGTGCAACAAGGAAAGGTGTGCAACAAGCTGCTTCTGTTCTTTTGAAAGATGCTAAATTCATTATGAATATGGAACAGAAACAAAGGTATATATATATTTTTCCATCTTTCTTTTAAGAGCTAGAAAGAGTTTTTAGGGGTCATATAGATAACTAAGTTATCTCTTCAGCTTGGGCAAGTTATTTGACCTCTCCAAGCCTCAGTTTCCAAATCTGTAAAATAAGCATAATAGTAAATTTAAAGATTAAATGAGATATTGAATTTCAGTACAGCTATGATCCTTATTTATTTCATAGCCAGCTTTCTTGATAAACCAAAATCAAACTCAGTGCCATCAAGTCAATACTGACTTACAGTGACCCTGTAGGACAGGATAGAACTGCCGCTGTGAGTTTCCAAGACTGTTAACAGTTTACCCTGGAGTGGCTAGTCATTTTGAGTTGCTGATCGTGTCGAGTTGGTGAATCACAACCCAACGTGTATAGCTTTCTTAAAAGATGATCTGTTTGGTTGTGTTGTTATCATCCACTAAAACTGCTCTTGCTCAGTTGATATTTTAGGAATGTCTAACATATTTAACCACTTATACTTTCTTTAAGAACTCTGGGCTTTGTGCTTACATTATCAGCCTCAAGTGACTCTCTTCCTACCTTGTTGACCTCTCTTTCGCAGTCCCCTTTTTAGCTTTTCTCCCAAACTCTTAAATGTTGCCGTTCTCAGGGCTTCATCTTGGGTTCATTCTTTCTCATTCTGTGCTGCTAGATGATTTCACACACGCACATGCACACACACATATTTAAGGTTGAACAAACAGTACAGCTTATAGTTAGGAACATATGAATATGAAAGTAAGAAAGTCCTTACTCTTTACAGGTAGTGTTCAGATAATAGTGTGGAGAAAATCTTTTCATATATGTATGCTCTAAAACAATAAATTATTTCAGAGGTTTATAGGATACTAATATTAGAAAAAACTCTTAATATTTTATTATATTTTAAATAGGTTACAGAAGTGTGCAGCTTCTATAAGAGATTCAAAACTGAGAGGTAAGTTTATAAGGAACTTCTGAATTACTTCAGGTTTAGATAAAGGAATCAGTTACTGATAAAATAATAAAAATAATTAACAGATTGCATATTTCTATTATAGAAATATTAATACATGGTATTGCTTATCATCATGCTGGCATGGAGCTGCCAGATAGAAAAATAGTTGAGGGAGCTTTCGCCATTGGAGATCTACCAGTTCTTTGTAAGTAAAACATGCTCTTTTGGATATTATGTTTTGGAAAAAAAAAACCCTCTCATAGTCTTAACTTATTTTTGCCTTTCTTCCAAAAATCTAAAGCTATATAACTACCCATACATGCAACAGTAAACTCTTGAGCAGTGTTTACTCTTTATAATGTTACTGAACATAGTAAAAATTAAAAGGAACAACTAAATTGGTTGCAGGTTGAAATGTGATATTATTTTAGGTCCTAAAGTTCATTTTATCCTCCTTTTCTAAGTTTCTTATATATGATTCTTACTACTTTTATAATAGGAGCTCAAACCCAAATTCACTACTGTTGAGTCAATGCTGGTTCATAGCAACCCTCTAGATCAGGGTAGAACTGCTTCTGTGAGTTTCTAAGATTGAGACTTTTTGGGAGTAGAAAACCCATCTTCCAAGGAGCAGCTGGTGGTTTCCAACTGCAGACCTTGCAGTTATCAGCCCATTGGTAGCCAATGTACCACCAGGGTTCCTTTATAATAATATAAAGGGAGGGCTTTAAAAGAAAATGTCTTCCTGAAATAATAAGATTATATGGTTTGAGATGAATATTTCTTAATCTGATGCAGTTACTACCAGTACATTAGCTATGGGAGTAAATTTGCCTGCTCATCTAGTAATTATCAAATCAACAATGCATTATGTTGGAGGAATGTTTGAAGAGTACAGTGAAACAGATGTTCTACAGATGATTGGTAGAGCTGGTCGACCTCAAGTAAGTGACCTCAAGTAACTTATTTTAAATACATGGTAAAACAAATCATTCAAAAACCTTCTTATGTAATTTTCATGAACAAATTGTTAACATTTCATGCTAGGTTAGATTTAAAATTAAAATGTAACCGAGAAAAGCTATTCTAACTGAGGAAGAGAAAAAATAAGTCTGATTAACCAGACTATTCTCCTACCATGTCCTCCAAACTCTAGTTAGTTAATGAAAGGGTGGATTGATGATTGGACATAATGAGTGGGACCGTTTTTCATTGTGCATTACACAACATATCATATGTTGGTCCTTGCATTAAATGTCAGTAGGTTCCCCCAGGCATTTTTTGTGACAATAAAAGTCAGCCCATACATGTTTCAAAACATACCCTCTTTTGGCAAATATTTGAGGGAACATTTAGGAAGATTACCTTTTCAAAGAACCTCAAAATAATAAGTTATACACATTTAAAATTTTTATAGAATAAATTAGATTATATGTAAACTATAAAAAAACTTGCTATTTTTATTCATTTGCCTAAATCTATATTGATTTTGCCACCACCAAAGCTATGTTATGGTGAAGTCAAAATGGTATGTATTCATAGCTTATAGTCATCTTAAAAATTAAATTCTTAAAAATTCTAAATCAAGTGTTTTTAGGCTCTTTTGACATGTAGTCAAAACAAGAGAACTGTTTATTGTAATGTAAAATTCTTGCGATATTGAAGAGAGCTGGTACCAACATGTCGTCTTCTGTACTAAATTTCTCTTTCCATGTTTGTTTTGTTTTGTTTTTCCAGTTTGATAGTACAGCTACTGCAGTTATTATGACTCGATTAAGTACCAGAGAGAAGTACATTCAGATGTTAGATTGTAGTGATACTGTAGAAAGCAGGTAATATAGAAAATATTCTTAAAAGATAATAATGTTCGTATGGTTTACTTCTTTTTCTTTTAACAATATTTCAGTAATTTTAATTAATAAATGTATATTCTTTAAGGCTGTCTTAGTTTTCTAGTGCTGATATAACAGAAATAAAACTCCAAACAAACAACCATCTAGTCAATGCTGACTGATAGTGATCCTATAGGACAGGGTAGAACTGCCCTGTTTCCAAGATTGTAACTGTTTACGGGAGTAGAAAGCCCTGTCTTTTCCCCAGAAATACAACAGTAAATGGCTTTAACCAACAGAAATTTATTTTCTCACAGTATAGGAGACTATGAGTCTGAATTCAGGGTGATGACTCTAGCAATTCTTAACCTGTGGGTCGCGACCCCTTTGGGGGTCGAATGACCCTTTCACAGAGGTCACCCAATTCATAGCAGTAGCAAAATGACAGTTATGAAGTAGCAATGAAAATAATTTTATGGTTGGGGGATCACCACAACACGAGGAACTGTGTTAAATGTAGAGGCATTAGGAAGGCTGAGAACCACTGCTCCAGAGGAAAGCTTTCTCTCTTTCTCCCCTATGGAGAAAAGTCCTTGTCCCTTGTGAGCTTATGCCCTTCATTCTTAATATAACTTATTACCCTCCCCAGTCTCTGCTTTAATCTCTTTTTTAAATCACAAAACAGATCGATAAAAGCATAGCCTACACGAACTCTGTTTTATTAACATTACAAGGAACTCATTTCCAAATGAGATTATATCCACAAGCATTATTTTTGTTGTTTGATACAGTCCAGGTGGTTCTGACTAATAGCAATTCTTTGTGTAACAGAATGAATCACTGCCTCCTCACAACTGTTTCTATGTTTGAGCCCATTGTTGCAGCCACTGTGTCAATCCATTTTGTTATGGATAAGCCTCTTTTTCCTGGATGCTCTCCATTACCAAGCATGATGTCCATTTCCAAGGACCAGTGCCTCCTGCTAATATGTCCAAAATAAGTGAGACTTAAGTCTTACCTGCCCTTACTGGTATCTCTGGATAACAAGTCCAAAATATGTGAGACTAGGTCTCGCCCATCCCTACTAAAGCATATTCTGGTTGTACTTCCAGGACAGATTTAAGATATATGAATATTAACAATATCATGATTATCTATAGCATCTTAGTGTTTTTCACCAACACCATAACTTCAGTACATTGATTCTTTTTTTGAATTACCTAATGAATTATTTTATTAATGGATGAGTGTATAAAATAGTTTTATTCCAAAATTATTTTTAAACATGCATCATGGTACATTAAATCAAAAGTTTTTGAAATAGCAATATTCTATCAATATTTTAACATAAGTAGAATAATATATTCATGGCACATCAATTGTCTATAGTTTCATTTTTCTCTAATGCCATATGACAGATTTTTGTGAGGAATTATATTTTCCATATTAGTCTTAAGATTTTTAATACTTTTCTCAAAGTGTGTGAAACATTCATGCATTTTCAGTGTATCAAATTTGAACAGCTTAAATTGATTTTTCATAGACTAGTATTTTTAACTATGAGAATCCTCTATGAAGGTGAAATGAGGACATATTCAATTCAGATTTTTAAATATTATAATGTGTAAATTTTTAAAAATGTTTTTTTAATTGGGCGCTAATATATATATATCATTCCATAGTTCAGTCACGTCAAGTAGAGTTGTACAATTGCTATCACCGTCGGTTTCCAAACATTCTTTTTCTTCCTGGATTCCTTGACAACATCTCCCTTTTACCACCCCACGCCTCACCACTGTAACCCACCCCACCCCCTCGAGCCCTTATTCTACTTGCTATCTCTATAGTCATCAGTCCTGGGTTTCATACACCGAAACACAGAAAAACATATAACACAACTTCAAGAGGGTGATCTCCAATGACATAACACCTCTGAGATACATCCTAATGTGAACAAATAAAAACAGAACAAAACAAACCCAAAATACAGAAAATGTTGAAAACCAAATCAGGTCCAGCATGCATCAGAGGGGGATCAACTGACAAGGTTTTAACTGTTCAAGTCAGACATGCCTGTGATCTTCTATCTCATCTCTCCTACGCACTCTGTTTAGTAATTACTATACTTCCATCCTTCAATTGTAGATAGAGGCCATTCATTGGAGGCTTATTTC